GCCACGCCACCCAGTTAATTATTAAGGTGTGTGTACACGGAGATACTGCAGGCGGCAAGTAGATCTGGCAAATGTCGGCCGCTTGGTGACTATCAGGCAAGTAAGCCTGTACACGAGGAGAGTATAAGGTGCCGATATCTTCTCGTAATCTCGTTTGCGCCGCCAGTGCGTCGTTAGATAACGTACAGCTGCCTTCACAGCTGCAAGATGCTGTTGCATGCAAATTGCTAATAGTCACAGAGACGAGCGATTAGAGATTGGACTCTGAACTCGTTCATTCGGCTCTTGAAACGCTTTAGGGTAAATTTGAATACTCACATCTCAGTTCCATCGGAAAATCATCGAACAGCTTTGGGCCGTCCCAGGAAGAGCTTTGTCCTGCTGCTCCAGCAGAAGATGGCCCCGGCTTTATACCTAATTCACAGGAGGTATTCTGCACAGTCCGTCTCCCCGCACTATGGTAGGTCAAAATCCTCGAGGCTCCGTTTGCAAAATTCCATGTGAGCAGCAACACAAACGTACATGTCTGTACAGAGTGTACCGGATACCATATCTCTCCCTTCTCTGCTTCAACGAAGCAGAGAAGGGAGAGATTCCCTTCCCAGAGAAGGGAGAGATTCTCCCTTCCAAGCCTCAACGTGTCCAAGAAGTCAAGCTCAGGATTGTCCTGCTCATCCGTGTTAGAAAGTTTCGCTGAACTACTCCTTATCGCAGCACTGCAATTAGAAAATGAATACTGCACTGAAAAACATGAGTACTCGTAAAAGAAAACACTGTGGCTCCAAAGACAGTAAAACCATCAGCATAGCTTCGCATTTTCATTTTCTTAAAAGTCCGTCACATCTCTCTGACTGTTGTCTTCCTCGTATATTCACTAACTTAATATGGTCAAACCTCAAACCGTTGAATTTAATGTTCTTCACTTGGACCATTCATATAAATTAGTTACCATCGTTCTCACAAAAACCTCCCGCAGTCTAGCTCATCTATAATCTTTCTCAAAACTCCGTCGTCCGGAAATGTGGATGGATGCGTGGTCTCGTCCCAAATCTGTGTCAGTGATGTAGATTAGGGCGCCAATACTTCAGTCGGTGACGCGCCTCATCTTAACCAAGTAAGATGTAGATGCGAGGAAGATCGGTCCAAGAACCGAACCCAGTAGCACTCCATTTCTCACTTCCGTTTCTTTTTTTCTTCCTCGATAGCCCCTAACTATGGCTGCTTATGCCTTCTCAGTCAGAAAGTCGTGCCAACAACTCTCTTCAGACTCAGTTTTCTAAAAATATACTCCGTAGTCTTCCCCATTCAAGAGCTTTCACAGAATCCTCCACGTCGACATGAAGATTATGTGCATATCAAGGTTAAATCAGTATTAGATGGCAGAACTTGCTTGTTTATACACTTGCGATTGAAGACCCGAGAATTCGTTGATTTAAATTATCAGTGAGTGGAACAATTCTTCAGATGACGGTAGATTGAAAAGCAAGTTTCAGGAAATGGTTTTTGTTTATTAACGACGTTTCGAATGCAACAAACATTCATTTTCACGTTGGAAGAAGCATTAAATATCGAAATTTTGGTGGAAATAAGTACATAATATTAGTAAATAGGATACAACAGTAAAATTGTGAACAAAAATTACTCTGATAATTCTCCCAGAGTTCAAACAAATCCGGTAGTTAGAAGATAGCTGGAGTCCAATCTGTAGAGATGAGGGGTTCAGCTGTCGTCGGTTGGGCCACTGCTTGATCACAATGCTGGTGAGTTCCTTCAGCGCAATGCGAGTTTCGGTCTGGTTGTGAGCTTGTCTCATGTGGTTCGCTTGCCCTCCAGTTTGAAGGTAGCTAACGCGACAGGGGCGCAGTGTCCTGATAGTCCAATTTGTCCGATGTTGTACTAAACACTCGCATTGCGCTGAAGGAACTCACCAGCATCGTGAGCAAGCAGTGGCCCGACCGACGATAGCTGAACCCCTCATCTCTACAGATTGGACTCCAGCTATCTTCTAACTACCGGATTTGTCTGAACTATGGGAGAATTTTCAGAGTAATTTTTGGTTCAAAATTTTACTGTTGTATCCCATTTACAAATATTATGTACTTATTTCCACCAAAATTTCAATATTTAATGCTTCTTCTAATTTGAAAATGAAGGTTTGTTGCATTCGAAACGTCGTTAATAAACAAAAACCATTTCCTGAAACTTGCTTTTCATCTAACGTCATCTGAAGAATCATTGTTCACAATCTGATAATTTAAATCAACGAAATCTGTGGTATTCAATCGCACTTCAATAATCAAGGTAAATTGTATACCTGTTTTATTCACTGATGAAAATACCTATCATCGATGATCCTGCAGATGCTGCGCGCTGATGACTCTGCAGCTGCTGAGGAGGCGCGGGTGCTGCAGCGGCAGCTGCTGCAGGCCGCAGAAGCGCAGGCTGCAGCACGACTGCAGGTGCGGATACATAACCTGGCCACTGACTTGCTGCTCGTGGCTCTGCCTGCTGCGGTTACATTGTGGAGTGTAGCTGCTTCAAATTCGTGGCTCGTGCAGTAATATAAATATCGTTTTGGGTGATTTTCTTTGAAATTTATATTAAAGTCTCTATATAATAAACAGATCTAATGTTTTATTCTTCTCGAAGAAATCAACTAACAAGATTCCCAATGTATCCCAGAAGACAATGGCCATAACCTTCGCTCCTGAACACTCAAATTTTGCTTTGACGGGCCTACTTCCTCCTCTGAACAGCCACTTCTTCGATTGAGTTTTGCCCTCGAGATTGCAATGGTCGAGCTCTGTTTCATCCCCGGTCACAATCCGCGTTCTCGTCCCACTTGTTGAAATTTTCTGTAGAATGATCTGTCCTTGATTCCTGCAGATCTGGGCGCAACAACCAAGGAACCCATCAAGCGAAGAGATTGCTCAGTCCCAAACTGTACAAAAAAATCGTGTGTGCAGAACTTACCTAGATGTTGATGGTATCTGCTACTGATTCGGTGGTTATTCGACCATCTTTTTTAATGACATCACGAACAACATCAATGTTTTCCACACGAACTGATGTGCGTGTTACGCCTCTACAGAGCTCATCTTTGGTCTCATTTCTTCCGCTTCGGGAACAACTAATCCATTTGTTGGTTGCTAATTTACTTGAGGCCTTGTCACCATACACATACTCCAGAGAGTCAATGATTTGGCTGTTCTTCCAATCAAGCTTCACCATGAATTTGTTGTTAACTTGTTTGACCTGGCCTCAATTTCGGCAGATGCCATGTTGCATGAACGGTTGTTTCTTTTAAAACAGCTCCCCATGTTTGTAACAATAATTTAAGGGTTCATGGGTAACACGATATAAAACTTTGATACGAGATCGTTATGCTGCATTGGCATCATATTATTTTCATATAATTTTCAGTTATGTCCATTTTTCACGAACTTTTTGAAGCCCCCGCGTAATTATGAAATTGGTCCTGAAATTTAATATTCACTTACACGAAAACTTGAAGCTCCAAAAATGTATCGATGTCGCTGATCACTTTCCAAGAAACAATCCATTTTATTTTGGCATTTTTCCGGTTGTTAGGTTTGTTAATAGTTTTCTAAATTTACAAATGAAATTGGTCTATATGACTCAGTATCCTGAGTTCGGAAGGTAGGTTGAGAATCAGACAATCTACTCAAGACGCAGTCTCCCCTGCAGCTCCACGGCCTGAAGCGTCAAGTTGCTAACCTACAGCGCGCAGCGACGAGGAGTCGTGATGACGGTGCCAGCTGTAGCAGAGGACGCCACCTCAACCAGCTGCGTGCAGCGCATGCTCACATACAAGTGGGTTTGCGCTAGCTGCTTTATACTCATAAACACTGCAAGTTAGTGTATAAATTGAGTAACTGTGTCATGTAGTCCATCACTGTGTGTGTTCAGCACAACAAACATGTATGAGACTTGTTACGATCGTGTTTCCTCTACCGACGACGCCAGGCAGCGCAAGGGGTTGCCAACTGGGCAATCGAAGCGCGGGAAGAAGCGCAGCTCGACAACAAGAAGCTCAGGGAGGCGCTGATGATGCGCGCGCACGCCCGCTCTTCCAATGACAAGCGAATCTGAACACCGACGCCACCATCATATTGCGATGCTTTATGTGTCCGGTTTAATCATTATTCTTTATTGTCATTCAGGAGCAAAAAATTCGAAAAAATTATCTATTATGATATATAAAAGAAATAGCTAAACGAATAATTACATATTTGTTTCAAAACATAGATAAATGCATTGATAAAACATTCGCATCAGTGAATTTTAAGAATTTGTCCCGAAAGATTGATAATTATAATTATTTGTAGGGTAAGTTTCTCTTTGATATCGCAATTTCACTACTCTCATTCATGATTATCAGAAGATTCTAAATTTAAATGAGAATAAACTATTGCCGTTTTCAAGTCAAATTTTTGAGAATTTATAATGTTTATTCCTTTTGTGCAATTTCCAAATATTCTACAGAAAATAAAACGTGACACATTAAGCCATACGAAGACTGTTAGCAGGCAAATTACTGTCGTCTCCCAAGCTATGAAGTTCTCTCGATGTTGACAAAATCGCGCGGCGCGAAATCCGAGACGTGTGCGGCAAAACGTGTCCGGCGAAGTGTGTCTGGTTCGGCATGAAGTGCGCAGGAAATTCTTTGTGATGAGGCTGACAATACTGTAAATGTAAACAATCATTATGATGCGTGTGGGGAAGTAAGTCCAGGAGTTTCAATATTGTTTCTGTGCTAATATTATTTATGTTCTCAATGGCCTACTACGAAAATAAGGTACAAAGCTAATACTTTAACGACTAAATTTCGTTCATCGAAGTGTGACTGTAAGCATGAATGCGCGCCATAGCTCGTACAATCTACGAGGAGCAAACCTAACTGTTGAAGTCCGAGCAAAAATAAAACGTAATTGTACACGAATGCTATCAGCGTAGTGCACTGAGCAGCCCTGAGTGCCTCCCCTTCCTGCCAGGACGAGCGAACCTCGCAAGAGTCAACCCGTGCTCCAGTCGTTAGTCTCTGCTAGACCGTCAAAAGGGGAGGAGCTGTTCGTTAGAAGCAGCAGCCGCTCGCCGGAAATTTCTAAGCCTGTCATGAGGTGTGATTTTCACTTCTGAGTTAAATCGGCTCGAACATGACAAGCAAGTGCGACCTCGAACGAGCCGCGATGTAAACGTGCCTCTACAATGGCCTTCTTAATTGAAAGCAAAATTTTTGTGGTCGTGATAATTCTGTTTGATTTCTCAATAACAAGCTTTGGAAGAACTACGGAAGATTCTCCTAAAACAGATAACCAGAATGCGGCCAGTCTCAATATTTTATCAACAGGTTTGGGAGAAAAAGGGAAAAAGTATTCATGGTACAAGGTCGGCCAATTAGCACCTGCGCCTAAAGTTCTCATGGAAAAGGCCCTGAGTGATAATACTTTGGATTACGATGAAGATGAACCCGATTATGAAATTGATGAGGGAGTCTTTACATCCATTGGCGACATGGGTAAAGCTTTACGTCAAGTCTGGGATTCTTTCAGCAAAAGGATGGACGGAATCGAGCGTAAAGTTCAACGTGTGGAGCAGCAAACGCTTGCCATTTTGAACCGAATGGCAATCGTTGATTGTTCAGCTCTTCCCGACGGTACGCCAACAGGCATTTATACGCTTTACTTAGACAATCAAGGCACTCACTCGGTGCGAGCGCTGTGCGAAATGGAGGCCGAAGGCGGAGGCTGGACCGTCATCCTACAACGCGTTCCTCACGAGGTTGTGGAGCGAGCCACTAACTTCAGCCGAGGTCTCCGAGACTATAAAGTAGGATTTGGAGAACCGGACGGCGATTACTGGATCGGACTAGAAAACATACGTAAATGGACGAGCTCCAGAGATTATCAGTTGCGGATTCAGCTCGAAGATTTCAATGGAGACACGGCGTTTGCACATTACGATCGCTTCTACTTGGAAGACGAGAGTAACGGCTATCGACTGCACGTGTCGGGATACCGAGGAAACGCGGGAGACTCCTTATCTAACTTGAACAACTTGGACAACTACACGGCCGAGGGAATGATGTTCAGCACCCACGACGACGACCGGGATACTTCTCATGAAATCAACTGCGCACATTACTGGAACATCGGCGGCTGGTGGTTCAACAGATGCTCGTGGGCAAACCTGATGGGTCCGTACAAACTGCCGGGGCAGGGCGACGGTATAGGCATCAACTGGCACAAGTGGCGCAACAAGCAGTACCTCAAGTCTGTCCTAATGATGATCCGGCCACCTACCACCTGAGACAAAACCTCAATTGTACAGTTTCCAATAAACAATTCCTTCTCGGTTGTCTACGTTTAATATCATATTTCCACTGCCATGGGTACGTTTAATAATGAGAAATGCGCTTTACCACATTAGGAACATCAGCGCCAGCTGCGTACAGCCTCTTTATAAACATAGGACCCTAGCATAGCAGCACTAGACAAATTCAAACATACAAGTAAATGTTTCTGTAGTCAGTCGGAAGCGCCGTAAGGTTATTAATGAATATTACACGTCTCACAGTAATTCATATAGATATTTAATGGGTACATATATACACTTTCTGAGCAACAACCTACACCATCATTAATGTAGAGCTGAGCCACTACCTCAGTCCACGAGCGGAAAAACCTGAAAATACGAAACAATTTCAGTTCTTTTTTATTCAATATAAACTAACCAACGTACATCAGCTAAACCTACTTACTTTTCTTTTGAATGCAAAAAATATGTTGTAGAATATGAAAGAAGTTAAGCTATTGCTTATACGATATTATCTGCTTCTTGGGATATTACAAATGAGATAACCAGAAGTTTTTAAAATAATTCACATTCTCATGGTGTCATTTAGAGGCGCACTCTTCATTGACACTAGAGGGACTAGGAAAGTCAGTCATTCAGCCTCAGTCTGCATTCTCTGAACATTGCTTAGAGAGATCGCAAGCTCAACGGTGACAATTTATTAGGTTTAAAGTCTACAATTGGCTTGTTCAATTTGAATACAATTTATTTGCTTGCGGACTTGCGACATCCCTATAAAAATTTGGATATCAAAATCAAAGGACAAGAGAAATTAAAACATTCACGATGTGAAAATGGGACGTTCACAGAATTTTCAAACGTGCTCAATTGAATTAAAATTGATCATTATCTATTCAAATCAAGGATTATAGTAGACTTCTTAGGACTTGCGCGGCAACCAGTTTACAATTGTCTTCCATTGTACACAGTATCACCATACGTGCAATCGCGCAAGGAACCATAGTTAGAGAGAAATATGAACGCAATAGACATGATGAAGCTCTCGTTCACCATCACGCATTGGTATCGGTTTCAAGCAGTGAGTAGCGTATAGTGATACTTGCACGTCATAATGAAGAATATAGAACTCTCAACTACAGACTCTACAGTAGTGAAATGGTATAACTAAAAGGGCTATTAGCATGCCAGCTATGCATCCATCACACCCCGAGTCACTAAGTAATCATCGCCAACAATGTTGAAGGTCTCAGTCATCACATATTGCTATCCAGATTACTCCTCACCTACAAGGGGCGGATGGTCTCAAAGAGCCAGTGTGCTTAGGCAGGCAAGGGAGAAGAGCGTCAGCAATTTATTGAGAGGAAGACTGAAAAGGTGATGGATTAACAACAACAGAAACGAAAAACCTCGCAATATAAGTCGCAGAAACGAAGCGTCTTCCGCACACACGATAAAAATGGAGAAAATAAATGAAAATAATAACTACGAGACAACATATTTAATCGCAGCCCAGACAACGAGCTCTAGGGAGGGTCGCTCAGGAACTAAAATCGTAGAAATGCGAAATCCCGTGGATTTTTTTATGAAAAGGCAGGGACCAAAAGACCCATTGAAGAGTCCAACACAGTCGCGGAGGTCATGTGAGGAAAAGGTTCATTTTTAGGGAAGTGGCAAAATATTCTGAGAACATTGCCTACTCTCTTGTAAACCACAATAGGTCAAGTACATAAAAAGCCTTGAAATGTTTCGAGTAAGATTTATATCAACCAAATCAAGTTACAACTAAATCGTAACATATATGCTTCCTCTGCTACAAATAAACTCGGCAAATTATAAATTCGCACTAATCAATTGTCCACAATGGGAACATTCTACAAATTGACGGCATAAAATCCTGCTCAAAATGGCACATTCGTAAAGACGTACAAGCAAATATTGACATAAAATGATAACCTGAACTAATCTCAGTACCTACAATTGTTCTGGCAAATAATATACTGAGTAAAATATATTCAATACATTAACAATTTAAGGAGAATAAATCTGTGAATGAATCACATGGAGCGAAAGAACCTTAATCGTGATTCAGGTGATAATTTTAGAGCACTTTTACGTTTTCAAATGATTGCATCTCAATGAAGTCTACGGGTTATCACGATCAATAGATGACTATTAGAAAAATCACAGAGAAAATAATTATGATATTAACGTTGAAATTCGAATAATAATGCATCGAAACTATTATACACTAAATTTTGTAGCTAAAAATCGGCTAGGTCTTGAACGCCGTATTTGGGAGGCAGGGGCGGGGAAGCCCGTCGAGAGGGGGGTGAGAGGTTAAGGGGGGAGGAGTCGACGAGGGGGGGAGGGTAGCCTCTGCCTCCCATTCTGGGGGGACGACCGCTGTCCCCCGGGAAGGTGTACACGGGCCTGGGTGTGGGGGGTGAGGTGGTGGTCTGCAAACATAGAAAACTCAGGTCAACCTCAACTGCTGCACAAACTTGGGGAATGAAGCTAACAAGAAAAATGTGACGAGTACCTACAATATACATCGTTATACTTGTGGAGCAGTCATGCTTAAATAGTTTCCTCCAAACGATCCAATAAGAATCATCCATCAGTTCAAATGAAAGTATATGATTGAAAATATATGGTAATAACAAAAAGCACAAGCTTTGGAAAATTTCCCGGTCAGTATAGTTTGAGTGGATAACTTAAAAGAAAGCAGCGTGTACACGAACTTGATTAGGCGCAGCGGCGGCCGACGGTCCCGCGAAGGCGTGGCTTACTTCCCTCACGATGACGTGGCCGAACTTGAGCACAGCACCGTACACTGCATACTGCAGGCACACTGCACCGAACCCCTGCACGCAGCACTGAGTCTAGACTATTGAGCACTGCACCGTACACTGCATACTGCAGGCACACTGCACCGAACCCCTGCACGCAGCACTGGTCTAGACTATTGAGCACAGCACCGTACACTGCATACTGCAGGCACACTGCACCGAACCCCTGCACGCAGCACTGAGTCTAGACTATTGAGCACAGCACCGTACACTGAACATTGCATCTCAATAAGTTTGCTTCACATCATAATAAATACAAAGGTTTTAAGAAAGAATTCATGTAATAAAATATCTTAACGGACATTGAAAACTATTCCCCGAGAGAAAAAAAGTGTGTTTCATATCAGAATTAGAAGTGTGCGCTCGTAAATAGTATATGGCTATCTCACGGCCCACTGCACTGGTGGGGCGAGGAATACATCTTTATGGGTACAGGGAATCTTATCACTTCACTTCGGAGGTTGTACAGAAACTCGGGTGGAGTTATTCAATGGAAAGAACTGGCATCCGTGAGAATTAAACCATGAAAACTAACCTTGTGAAAACTTACCTTCACGAGAACTACCCTCCATGAGAATGTCACTCCAAGAGAACCAACCTTCATGAGCCCCAAGGGTCCCTCATCCCTGATGGTGGTGGAGAGGCAGTCCCAGAAGCCCTCGTAGCGCGTGAGCACAGGACGGACGTCATAGCCAGCGTCCAGGCTGTCGATGATGGTGCGGGTTCCCTGCAGCTGCAGCCTGCAATGTTACAGTAGTACATTGCTCTACAGTTAAAATTCTTATAACTAAATTATTTAATATTTTTTGGCTGTATCGCATTCATTCCTACTAATAAAAATAAAATTAAGAGGAAATCTATCAATTGAGAAGAAAATAAAGAAATCGATGAAGGCAATAGAATTTTGACTTAAATTTTATGTTTAGTAGTGTAAAAATGTAGTCACAGTGTTAGAACTGAGCAATAATAATGATGCGATGAAACAAAATCAAAATTTGACATGGAAAATAATTGAACAAAGTAACATGTGAGCTAACGTCTTGCACACAGTCTTGTAAGTCTAGAAAGTGACACGTGCCAAAGTCCTTATAGGATACAGCAGAACATCAGCAACCAATTGACCTGTGAACAACTGTCGTCATAGGATACAGCAGAATATCAGCAACCAAGTGACCTGTGAACAAGTGTCTCCATAGGATACAGCAGAACATCAGCAACCAAGTGTCCAAAGAAAGCAGCATGTAGTCGCGTGCTCGTGTCATTGAAAGATCCTGAGACATAGTTCTTGGCCACGGCTCCTTCTCGTCGTGCTGTAGCGCCCTGTAATAAGCATGACAGTAATAAGCAGCCCACATTAAATAATGAATTTAGACTAAGAAAATTATTTAAATATAATATAATTAAAATGAACAAAAAATTCAATGTCACTGAGTTCTGAACAAACCATAAACACAATATTAATTTTAGGGTAATCAATAAAATAATACAGTTTTGTGATAAAACATTATTCACCATTAAGTAATCACACTCAAAACATGTGAAACTTTAATATCTATCAGCCAGTAAAGTTATTTAACCTGCTTCTGCAGGTACTGTGCATGACAAGCATGCTGCGCTAGGGTGGAGGCAGCATTGCCAATGATGTAGTGCAGGAGACCATGCGTCACAGTTGGCACCACCACCAGCCATATAGGAAGCAGCCGACCTGCTCGCAAAATAGTCCTTTACAACACAGGAACTAGGCCTAATATCAAATGAAATACTAATATACTGAATAAAGAAAATATAATATATTCATTGGAATGTTATAGCATCACAGTAAATTTGTGCAATTTGATCAAGTTATATCTGCCAAACATCAATAATAAACCAGAATTTTTTATAAACTGAATACATTGGTCATTATTTCTGTGCATCTTCTCACCACAAGAGTGTTACCTATACCATGATAAGATAATGAACATAGTTATTGGTTATTATAGGTACGTTGACATATCAGGAGAATGCTTGGTAAACTATTAGAAAGATTACAGATGCACGCAAAAAAAATAAAAAAAAAGTAATTGGTCAATATTGTCTGTTCAATGAAAGAATCAATTGCGTTGGCTAATGATCTGGCACTCAAATTTTTTAATTGAATCCTAACAATCATGAGATGCATTCGACCATGATTGTCTCAATTGTTCCAGGTGGCAAAATCTAGTATGGATTTACTTGCGAGTATTAAGATAAGGATAAAGAAGTCTGTTGGTATTTAAGGGTCATCTGAATGCTACAAGATGATCTCACCAATCTGTGGTTGAGTGAAAGAGAGCAGTCTGGTAAGGCCCTCCTTGAAGACATCAAAGATGCCTGGACTCTCACATGCTACGCTGCTCTGAACTGTCTCTACCAAAGATGCTGCCAAGAAGGGTGTCACCACAGCAAGGGAGAGACACTTGAGCAGCAAGTGCTGGCTTACTGTTCGAACTGAGCTGCCTGCATAAACATCTCTGCAATAATGGTTAGGTATTACTTTTCTTACAGTTGAAGTCTAGTTATTTTGCAAATTTTCAAATTTCAAAATGTTGCATTAGGTGCCAAAATTAGAAGGAAGATTTAGCCTCAGAAACTGACTTTGGGAGAGGGGTAAACTTGGAGATGACATCTTCAACTCCCATGGTCAGCCCCTTGACAATGAGAACTGATCCAAGACCTTTCCAGAGTACTGTAATCCCTTGCTGACTCTTCATGGATGCATACAATATGGTTATAGGGAGTAGATGTTGTCTCTTACTGCTAACATCAACCTGATGAACAAGAAAGCCAGACATCACACATGCAAATGACAGAATGAATTCATATGAATATACAGCTTATCCCCAATACCGTACTGCACGATATACCAAGATTTGATGATGGTTTCACCTTATGATACAACTGCATACAGCCATTTCAATTTAGGATATATTTTTCATTGATCATAGTAGATATATAAAATAAAGATGTTAAATCCTAGTATGTCATTAATTTCACAGAATATCTTTACCTGGCAGACTCTGCGCAATACAGTGAATGGATGACTCAACAGGTTCTCTCCCATCAAACTCACAATGCTAATGGACAACTCAGCATACCTCCCAGCTATGGCTTCACCTAGAAACAAAGTAAACAATTATATACTGATTTAATTTGAGATTGTAAGATTGTAATAAATAGTCAAAATTTTTGCTGGTATCAAAATATCATAGCATTTATCATAAGAAAAGTTCTCTGGTATCTAACATTTTCTCATAAGCAAGTCTTGTGAGAAAGCTTCAAATTCTGAATAAAATTAATAACATAATCAAAGTTTTTAATACACAGCATTAAAGATGAAGCACATTCATCAAGGTCAAAGAACATTATTTCAGCAAAATTAATTTCTTTGAGACTGAAGGCAAAACCATATGCTGAATTTTCAAACTATTGAGAATTTTCAAATAAACATCAAACATGAGAACAAAGAAAACGAATGGACTCAGTGTGAACATACCACGATCCCTAGGGGATTTGGGAGTTGAGGGAAGTCTCTCAGGAAGATCACTTGGGCGTGGATATCGCGTTTCATTTTCAAATTTTGGCTGATATGGAAGATCAGGCCCGTCTGACATATCACTAGTCATCAAGTCAGGATTTGAGTCAGCTCTCTTCCAGAATGGGTTATTATGATCACGCAATGTTGCATAAAATTGATAATCATCTAGACCTGCCATCTTGATGAAAGCTCTAAAAATTTTTTAAAAATTAACATGAAGTTTGGGTACTTGCTCATCAGCAGAACAAAAACAGAAAAGAAAATTGCTTCTCTTGCTTGGTCAAAAAACTGAGCTGTATTACAAATGGAAGGCTCAGTCAGTTTCAGGTCACAGAATCAGGTGTATGCATATTACCTCTAAAAATTTACAATGTCAGAATTCTCTGGGCTCTGGCATAGATCAGGCTTCATAGACTGTATAGACATAATTTCATTTGCTACTCACAATGATACAGTAATTTCTAACATTGATAATGTAGTCAACCCTACCAATTCCTATCCAAATGGTATTTATAAACTATAGTGTACTTCCTCAACCAAATTGAACACGTCCTCTTTTACATTACATTGCATTAGTTGTGAAATTGTATTGTAGAGCCTTAGCAATTAGTTAGCATATCAGTGTATAGTAAAAAAAACACTAACAACTAATGATGGACAATTTAAACATCAATTTCATTGCATACAGAACAATCAAACCACTGAAACAACTAACCAGTGAAACCACTATGCAGTATGCACAGATCAGGATTATTGTCAGCATTTTTATATGGAGATTGGAGACTGGAGAGTATGGTAGTACATATCATTATATCAATTATGAGAAAACCTACCTAATTCATGGGGGAATGATGGGATGTTGTAGGTGTGGACGTAATGGCAGACTGAAATGTGATGGAATGGAGGGAAAGGACACTTAAGACTGTATCAGATGAAAGCGATGCCAAAATATGAATGTATGTATGATGGTAGTAGAGGTGGGAACCTTCTGTTTTGTGTTAGGGCAGGCGCATTAGGTGTGAATGGACGTACATACAGGTGGAATGAGAGGAAGGAAGATAAATGTTTTATGTGTGATGGGGATGAGAAGGAAACTGTGGAGCACTTGTTGATGGAATGTGGGACGTACAAGAGAAAGAGCGTCAGTCTATGATGGAGGTGATTCTGAATGAGAGAGGTGAGATTAACGAAGTGGGGCATGTGAGAACAAGCAATGAGTGGATGGCAATAAATACAGGGCTGTCTGAGGGAGCAAGTGCGGCTATGTTTGAGAGTGTGAAGAGATATTTGGAAAACATGTGGAGGATGAGGGAGAGGACAGAGGAGGATTATGATAAGAGTGGGGTCTTGAGGAATGGAGGGTTAAGAGTATGAGAGAGGGGAGGGTGGGAAGACGTATGACCATGCCGAATTGTTTTAGTATGTTGTTATACCATCAAACGGGGTAAAATGGGGCAGGCAGAGTAAAAAGGGACAGTCCTCCAACATTTTGTAGAAATTTTGTAGCAGCTAAACTAATTAGGATATTGCAAAACTGAAAATAGTGGTGTAAAGCTCAACATTTTTATTATCTATGCAGCATAAAGCAAGTTGAAAAATCATACATTTATTGCCTCTAAAAAATCCCTGAAAAAAGTGTGAAAAGTAAGATTTTGGAAAAGCATGTCCATGGATACAGTAATATCACCTTAAAAATATGGTAATGTATGCTGTATGCGTATGGATAAGGTAATATTATATCAATGAAGAAAAAAAAACAAGTAAAAATCACAGAAAATTTCATTTATTCTACATTTACATCATCTACAAAGGAAGAGGAGGACTTCAGAGTATACTGTTAGTAATAGATGAGTACACTCTGGCACTCTGCATGCTTCAAATATTTAAAATTGAGTTTTATTTCAAGTGTCCCTTTTTACCCCATTTCCAGATTAATTCAGGTCTCAGGAGCCTTTTATATTGTATCTAGCACCTTACAAATAGCATATTGAAAATTTTTAGAGATACCTACCATACAATAGCCCTTGCAAGTTGCAAAGACCTTTAAAATGAGCATATGAGCCCAAACTTGTTCATGAAATGTTGCATGGTAAGAAGTTATTAACAAAAAATGCTCAAAAGTCAAAACCGTCCCTTTTTACCCTGTTTGACAATTGACAGTATATTCCTAATTTTTTAGGTTGTTGCAAAATGAAACAAAATTGTTGAGCTTTTTTTCTTAGGACTGCTGTGTGCTGTGAAGTGTGAATATGGTTTTGGACTTTTGGCTAATTGAACTTTTTTGTTATGATACTAGTGTGAAGTTCTGTGAACTTTCAATTTTTTTATGCTAAGACTAGTAAAAGTTTTTAGGCAGCATGTATGACCAATATAAAGGTCGTGACCAGAGGTCACCACGCATTTCAATTTCATGGAATAAAGCATGTTGGGAAAAAATAGTTGGTACCTACCTACATAGGCTACATCACAGTCACACATATTCGATTGAGCGTTAAAGTTAGGTTTTGTAGGTATACGAGTCCGCAGGAGAGTTTTTAACGAATCTCGCAACAAACTATATTAATGTTCACACTAGCAACATCAACATGTAGGCTGTAGCAAGCACAGTAAAAACCAAAGCGGCATAACTTCGTCTTAAGGCCGGTCCACAAGCTCAGTTTTACACAACGATTTGTCTGCGCAGTTTTTAAGTCGAAATGAAATCGTGACAATTTTTAGATCGTCCACACGGTGCCGACTTATCGTGTAGTTTGCTCAGTTTTGCCCGATCTCGTCATGGAGCAGGCAGTATTTTGGTCAATTTAGGTAGATGGCTTGTAGATGTCTTGTAGATGTCTTCAGAGAGATGGCTTGTAGATGTCTTCTCCAGCCCCAAATGTACTCGAGTTATTAATTTTTTCCCCGTTGTTAACGGTAAATACTCCTCAAGTTATTAATTTCTACCTACAGCTGTTTCTCTGTCTGCGCTTTCATCGATTTCTTTGAATTTTTCTACAAGGCTCTCATATGTCTCCACTTTTTTTTTGTCACAGTTACTATAGTCCTTGGATTTTACTCGCCAAATGCAAGAAAAACTTTCGGACAGAGCAATAAATTCCCGAGAACATTACTGAAGATCCGCCATTGTCGCCAGAATCATTAAAATTTGAAACAGGGCACAAATTGAATCGGAAAACGGTGCTACCGTCCACACGTTCCGACTTGTCTGCGCAGTTCATAGAAATCTATGCTCTGGAGATCATATCGCTGCAACTGTGCAATCTTGCCGCCGGCTTCAAAACTGCGCAGTTTTCCCATCCATACGCAACGTTTTATCTGCAACGATCAGAACTGCGCAGACAAATCGTTGTGTAAAACTGAGCGTGTGGACCGGCGTTTAGACAACACAGCATTCACATGCTAAATCACCAGCATCCGCCCATTAGCTCGGTCATTTTACCACTGGCTATCGCCCGAACAACACCACAAATGTCACGTCAAGCCTCGAGGTTGTTACCCCTGAAACATTACTACTACAACACGTGCTTCCCGTGACGCCACGTGCATCTCGCAAGCCACGAGCATCTCGCAGGCGTCGAGCATCTAGCTACGCCACGTGCATATCGACGATGATCTCGCTACGCCACGCGCATCTCACAATTCCATGTGCATATCTCAATGCCACCTGCTACTCCCCGTGCATTTCGCTACTCCATGTACTACTAGCTACCGAACGCACCATGTGCTCCTGACGCCTCGTCATCCCACGTGCTCCTGACACCTCGTCATCCTGCGTGCCCCGGTCTCCTAGTTCGTCCCGTGGCCGCCATCATTAAACATGTTAGGGATTAAAAGATATATTTCTAGCAGAAATGACTGACATGTCATCAAATTGTTAGCATCAGTACCTAAATAACTGCTAACTTGCCATTGTCAAACGCATGGTAAGTAGCAAGTATTTGAGCTGGACTATTAGTTTCATCAGATTAGCAACAAATTATTACTACTGAATAAGACGTGGTAATTCACGGATAACGATCCGTATGTGGGCGAGTACCGCCCGACCGTTTTTGCGACCCGCGCTGCGGTTGTGTGCTTGTGTCTACTCGCTCACGTATTGTGTAAGCGGTTTAGCGTCTTCATGAGTGATGCACGCAGTGCTGCGTGTCATATGGGTGTGGTGAACAGGGTAGTGGTTTTTATGCACGCGTTCTTGCGTGCAATGCGCGTGTTGGGCGCTGAATCGACACTTCTCCGGACCCGCCTGCGAACTCGCCTGCTGACTCAAACGCATGAACCACTCATAACTCCTACAATACTCAATGGATTTGCTGGAATTTTAGAATGTGAGTAGTTATTATCGATACGCTGCGGTAGGAATTATTACAGAATTTTATTTTATTTATTACAGATTAGTTTTCAATTAAAACCAATAAACTTATTTTTTAATCAACCGAAAAACTCATTATTTCTTCAATAATGAACGGATTTGCTTGAATTTTAGAATATAAGTATCGATACGCTGCTGCAGGAAAAATTACAGATTTTACATTGATTAGTTTTCAATTAAACCAATAAATTTATTTTTTTTTAAACAGCCGAGACGCTCATAATTTCTTCAATAATGAACGGTAGGTAGGTAGCTATGTCCCAAGTCCCTCGCTTATTACCGAGGCGTTACGATGATTGTTTTGATCTTCCGCTGTCTTGAAACTCTCCTGCCATTTCACCCTCGGCATATTGGTATCCCCCCACCAAAAAAATTGTCACCAATTTTTAGGCTTAACTTTATTTGTAGCTTTCTCGGTCTGTTTCCGAGAACAATTTTGATTTTTTTTAAGTGGAAAATTTTACGGTCCAGATAAGTTATTTTGCAGGAAACAGCTTATTTTAATGCTATATAGTGTCATTATCACAAGAAAATCTAGATACACCATCGCGCTGTTAGTACACGAGGTGAACAATGTAAAAAATTCTTTACCAAGCTGTGATGAGAATCTTCTTGATAAATGTACATTTGTACTATTTGGGCGTTCAAATCATAATAGTTTTATTCATAAATCTATTCCGGGAACGGCGTTTTGAAGGTATCATCCTAATATGTTGCACGGAATTAATTTGTAGAATAACACTTGATTTTCTTCGTTTTTACGAGATGGAAAAATTTACTCTGCAGCATTAGATTTAAAAACATGTACTTACTAACGATGGTGAAAAGTTAATGAACTCGAAACTATCAGAGATGGGATAATATATCAGCCTTCGATGCACCATTATTTTAGTATGAAGCTAAATAAATGTATACTACAACAGCCCTGTATACGGTGTATTAACTAAGAACTATTCTTCAGATACTGAAATTCAACAGATTGTACTCCAGCTTTCAAACAACATCATTTATCGATAACAATGTAACTGCTTGCTAAACTCGACTTAGAAAAAATAATTTTTTGTTAAATAAAATATTAAATTTAGTCAGATTCTTAATTTCTTATACCCATCATGACAATGGAAATTGTTTTTATTAGATATAAATTGA